GAAAAAGACAAAAAACACTATGACATGTCTGCGTCCTCTACTGGAACATACTATTTGACCATCATGGTCGGTTCTCACCTGCAATCTTGTTAATTTCCATAATCCCAATATGCAAATTGGCTAATAGTGTCACAGAGAACTGCTGTGTTGTGCCAGCTAAACGTCACATGGCTCCTCGTGTTCAGAGCAGTGTGACCAGTTTAACAGGCTGTTCGCTTGATATTGGGCATGAACATGTAATTAGCTTCAAAGCTGATGTAAAATTATTCTAGGAGAACAGCATACTTAACCATGGTCATGCCATTGATGAAGAAATCAAATCCACCAGGTAATCACTAATTTATGAGTATTTTTGCATTTTTCATAATGGTCAAAATGGTTTCATGTTTTGAACGATATGGAAATGGTTAATTCTTGTGTATTATCTATCAGTCGGCAGGTTTAGACAATATGCAGTACTGCTGGCTTGTTTTTTTTGTACATCATCCTGTCTGGTAAGTTCTTAAGAAAACTGATATACACTTAAATGCAGATTTTAAAATAATCGTTAATTAAATAAGAATTGCTTTTCTCCATGACATGACAACAGGGCTGTGTGGCATTTAGTTCAATTCAAATGAGAATGTATTGTAAATTCCAGTTCAGTTCATAAATCTGAATGTATCTGAATTTAGCTAACACAATTAAGAATTTTAATTTAAGGCTAAACTGCTGTAAGTGTAGTTTAAAAAAAACAGTTTTTAGCAAGAATCAATATTTTTTTTATGTTTGATATTTATTTTTATAAAGTTGTCTAAATGCATTGTGGTGGACTTGTTTTGACAGTATTGAATTTAGTTCAATTCATTAGAAATACAGCTGATCAGCAAAGGAAAAAAAAACAAACATGCTCTTAATGTCAAGGATTAAATAGGCTTGTTGAATGTCGTTGGATTGCAATTGAGTAAATTAATCGTCAAACTCCTATTCAATACCTCAATATATAGGCTAATTTAAATGTAATTTATTACTTATCTTTATTCCTGTATAGGAGTGTATGATCTCATGATCGAAAAACACAAGGACGGGTTTAAAGACAACGCCTTATAGTTTGAATAAAAGTAAAGAAAGGATACAAAAGGATATTAAACTAAGCGCTGCCTCAGTCCTGCCCCAAAATTATAGAGTTGCCAGTGACTGACGAGAGGGTTGGATAATATTTGGTTTAAACAACTTTGAGTTTTTGTATGACTAATAATAGCTGCTTACTGCAACTCAATAAAAGAAAGAGAAAAAAACAACAGGTTTTTAGCAAGCATCTGTCAGCGGATCCCTAATATATCTGCTCATAGACAGATCCTCTGAGACGTGTGTCTGTGTAAGCGCTCAGTGAAGAAATTTTGCTGGAAATGCTGGTATCGCCACATTTTGGGTTTTGGAAAAGTGCTATATAAATAAAAATGACTACTATTGTTTTAAAAATGTCAGTACCGACTGGTACTGAAGTCGGTACTTTTGAAAACACTATAAGTTTTAATTAAGAATGTTTGTGATAATGCAAGAAAACTAGTTTAAATGTTTTGCCACTTGCATGAGCAACTTAATATATAAATCTAGAAGTAAATGCAAAAGTAAAAAGCATTGAATAATGTGTTTCTTATATTTATTGCAGTTAAACACGTCTATGAAATACTGTATTACTGTACTGTGTATCAACAATGTTTGGATTAGAAATCACAATAATGGATAAATGTTGTGTTTGGCGTAAACAGCCATGGATCAGTTGAAGACCCCTGTGTGAAAGCAGTCTGTGCTGCTTCTGCGCCACTTACGTACCACACATGGACTGCATACGCACTGCAAACGAAGTATGTGTGAACCTGGTGTAAAAGGCCGCCTCACTTACAGCTCACGAAATCAGGCTTGTGCTGTGTGTAAGCTATTGTGCAACAATTGCACGATTGTCAAAACAAAAAGGCAGTGCATGGTCAAACATTTAGGTGAGATAAATATATTTTTGAAAAATGTCTTTAAAAAATGTTTACTTATTATAGAAATAAATTGTGCAATAACTAATCTAAACCAATCCCTAATCCAGACCCTAAAGGAATAGTTCACCCCAAAATGAAAATGGTCATCATATACTTAGCCATTTTGGGGTGAACTAACCTTTTAACCCTATAGTAAGTAAATGTTGTTAATTAATATTACGGAGTACTTAAATGTACACCTACACTGTGACAAGGACACTATAAAATAAAATGTAACCAAAGTATGTAGCTGGACATTTCAGATGATTATATGTGTAAACATTTGTTTTTATAGGTGGACTGAAGAAGAATGCAATGACCAAGACCATGAACCAGAAAGACATAGAAAAGGCACTCTCAAAATGGTTCACGGGGGCTAGAGACAGGGGCAGAAAGAGCGCAATCAGGTCACAGCAGTCTTCAGGACTGTGATTCATTTTGTGTGTGTCCATCTGTACAAATTGTGTTGAGACCAAGTATTTTAATACTGTATTGTAAGTTAAACAGAGTTTTTGTTCTTTATGTTGTCATTGAGGTTTTAAAAGCGTTACTTAAAAGAGAGAGTTCACCCAAATTTTACAAATATATTCTATCTGTTCAATTGATTTAAATCAAGAGTGTCAAACTCTGATCCTCGAGGGCCACAGCCCTGCAGAATTTAGCTCCAACCCTAATGAAAAGCACCTGATCCAGCTAATCAAGTCCTTCAAGCTTATTTGAATACTAGATGGTATGTGTATTGGAACAGGGTTTGAACTAAAATCTGCAGGGCTGTTGCCCTCCAGGAGTTTGACACCCCTGCTTTAAACCCACAAGACTTTCATTCATCTCTGAAACACAAATTATATTTTTAATTAAATTAACATTTTCTGCACACTGATATAACTGCTCTATAAGAAATATTTATTGCAACGTTTTGACCATTAGGTCTTCGTCAGGCTTTTGCTATAGTTTGACTTTTTTGTGCACCTTAGCCCTGTGTGGGGGTTTGTGGGATGTGCGCAACTTTTTTATACTTTGGTTTTTAATTAAATTAAGACATTTCTGTCTCTCCATTGAAAGTCTGTTCATGACTTTTCAGACGACTTGAATTAAAAAGCTCTATTTATATGGATTCTT